GGCTGCGTGGGGCAGGCGGGAGCTGAGCGATAGCAGCTGGAATCCCCAGCAATCTGGTAAGCGCAGCTCAGCCCCGGACTCCCAGCTCGCCGCGATCGGGTTCCAACAGCCCCTGACAGTTGGTATTAATCACGCACATCGCCCCAACACAACTCTTTACTGGCCATCAATTTCCCGTGGGTTTTAAAACTAAAAAACAAAGACAAAACCGCGTCGTTTGGCCGCCACTGAGAAGCACATTAAGGGGCTGTCAGCTTCTCGCCATGCACCCTGCATCACTCTTTAAGCACATGAGAAGTTCATTATCCCCGGAGCTCTGGCAGCCATGGGGATGCTGGCGTAGGGAGCGTCGCGAAGGTGCTCCTGCCGTCAGACGTGCCTGGTGGCTCCCTGGGGCCCTCCCGGCCGCTGGAAACAGGAGCCGGGGGTCCCGGGCACGGAGGCAGCACGGCCGCAGTGGGAGCTCCAGGGTTGTCCGTGGCAGGATGGGGGAGTCCTGGCTGCACGCCGTGCTGGGCTTTGATCTCAAGCAGACTTGCCCGACGGTGCCTGCAGGCTGACGATGCCACCCCACCGTGGTGACGAGCTCTTCCTGGGGCTGCTGCGACGTCCCCTGACAGCCTGACACCACATTTGCCAGCCTGTGGGTGCTCCCTGACAGCCTGAGCCGCACTCTGGTTTGGTGACATCCCCGGCAGCCCAATACCACGCTTGCCATAGTTTGCTGATGCTCCCTAGCAACCTGACACTGCGCTCTCTTTAACATGCGACCATGTAAAAAAGCAACAGCTCGTTTGATTTATGATACTTCAGAACAACTAAGATTCAATTGCTCCGCACGTCCCTGGCTCTGATTACCTCCTAAATGAGATAAACTGATGGCAATTTATCCCCAGACCTCACCAACTTTCCCAGGATGCTAACCTGCGACGCTCGTGCCCCGCACACGCGGCCGTCGGGACAGTGGCATCCGAAGGCAGCTTGCCTGCAGCCCAAGCCGCCCACTCCTCTGCACTGCCCGGCTGCCGCTCACCGCCTGGGAGAGACGCTGTGACGGAGAGCCGAGCTGGACACCGCGCCTGGCCCGACGCGGCTGCGGAGGTCTCCTGGCAGGAGGCTTTGGGGGCTGCTGGCAGCGGTGCTCCCCACGCCGGCACTGCCACACCGGCGTGAGCTCATGGAGAGCACAGCCGGTCACCGGGCTGTCCCCCACGCTCCTCCGAGACAGCATACCCTCACAGCGGGATGAGCACCACGAGGGATGGCAGTGCACAGTGATTTTCACATGTTCACCATGTTGGCTACGTGAAAGCAAAAAGCTCAGATTATCCTGCTGTGAAAAAAACACTGGTAACTGTTCAAAAGCAGCTAAAAAAGACTCAAGGAAGAATCAGACATACTTATGGACACCAGTCCATGGCATAGGCCATCAGTTGTGCCCATGATGTGAGGCAATGCTCAGCCCCGGGCCCACAGCTGGAACCAATTGCTGACCATTAAGCCACCAGGATGGGACCTCACCTAGAGGCTCGTTATCTCTCATTTGCTCGCTGCCAGCTCCTGTCTCTGACGCTGCCAGGCAGGACAGTGACCCGGGTGTGACTCCCAGCCAGTGTTCGCCCTGAGCGTCCAGGCAGCGACAACCCAGGCATCACTCCCTGAGTCCCTCCTCCGCACCTGCCCTGGGCTGCCCGGTCCCGGGGAAGAGCCGTGGCGGCGCCCTGAGCTGCACTGGCCCTGGGGAGCAGTCCCAGTGCTGCGGGCAGCAGGGGGACAAAGCGAGTCGCCCACGGAGGGTAGCACGGGTGGGGAGACCCAGTGCCAACCAGACGTACAGCCAGCAGGGGACGGATCGTCAGCCTGAAAAGGAGTGTGCGATTCAGCTCCGCAATTTGTACCGAGCACAGGGATGTACGAGGACCCTTTCCAGAGATGTCCCCCTCTCCCCAAAATGGGGTATACAGCTGTTTGCTAACATCAGGCTGGCTACCACAGGACCAAGCCGTGAGCTTCCAAGCGCGTGCTGCCTCCACACAGCCGCAGCGGCAGGCTCCTGCGGACACGGAGCGCAGCGCCGCATGCACCGGTGCTGCCCACCACCCCTGTGGACCCGCAGCACGCGCAGCCTGGCTCCCCAGGAGGTGCTGGCGCAGGGCGACCTACGAGAATGGCAGAACTGACCCAGCCTTTGGAAACCCAACTTTGCAACCGGATCAGTTTTCTAGTATAGCAGATTACATAAAAAACAAACGCAAGGTAAGATTTTGGAAAAGCCACCCAAAAAGCCAGAAAACCCACTGTACAACACCTCATGTGGAAGATGTTCTGACCCAGCGTGTGCCTGGGAGCTCTCGTTCTCTGGGCCTGGCAACAGCACTGCGCCAGTGGATGCTGCACCGCTCACCGACTGAGGAAGGACACGGGGACTTGGGCGGACTGGATTCACGCCGGAGACACAGAGGGTGGCTTGCTCGTGCGGCTGCAGGTGACGGATGCCCCCTCTGCTCCACCGTGCCCCTCCTGCCTCTGTCCCGCTCTCCCAACTCCTCGTGGCGTGTCCTCACTGCTCCCTGCCCACCGCCGCACTGGAGCACGCTCAGCAGCGGCTGCCACGTGTCCCGGCAGCGGCAGTACTGCCAGTCACTGGGGAGGTATTTTTCCTGCTCCCGGCACTGGTGCCAGAGGCTTCTGGCAGCAGGAGGAGCAACTGTGTGCAAGGTCTGCGCAGTGACAAATGAAGTTTGGTAACTGACACTTCACTGGCAAATGACAGTCCAGGTTGATAAATGTGAAGTAATGCACATTGGGGGAAAAAATTACATTACTCCAATACCTGACAGGGCTCTAAATTAACTGTATCAACCCAAGACAGGGCTGGGATGTCACTGGAAGTAGCCCAAGACCTCTGCCCAGCACACCACCGTGGGGAAGGACCAGGGCAGGGAAAACATTCTGATGCGCTCGTACACATCATGTGGCACCACATCATCACTGTGTGCAGCCTCCGTCACCGCACCTTCCAAGGATACTGCCAAACAGGGAAAGACAGCAAGAGCGAGCATGGGTCTGAAAAAAAGTCCCCACGAAGTGACAGAAAAACTGGGATGGCTCAAATGTTTGTGGACCGGGCGCCCAAGGAGGAGGGTGGCAATCATCTGTTCTGCCCGCGTGGGTGCAGAGGGCAGGGAATTCTGCCGGGGATGGATCACACACACATCGTGGAAAAGTAACTTATTTAATTTTAAGACTTTGAGCCGGGGTTAGTCCACATTACTGCTTCATAAAAGTGTTCCCACATTTAATAACCTTTTCCACTAAGAAATTGTATTCAGTTTTGTGCAAGTTGAGCTCCCACCCTCTGCACCTTCTCAGGCACCCGTCAGCTATGCTGAGCAGCGCTGCAGGACCAGACTGCTTTCTCTCTAAGTACTGAAAACATTAGTCCTTCGCTTCTCAGCCTTCGTTCTGGTAAGCTGAGTATCTTAATGTCCACACCATAAATATGTTCATCAGACCCAAGCCTCTTTTAGGACCTTCTTTACAACTCTCTCCAGTATTTCCACACTCTCTTGAAGTATTGTTTCCAGGATGGGACACGGTACGTTAGCACGTACTAAGGTGCAAAGTCATTCTACTCTTTGGTATCACACTTTTCAGACATACAGAGAATACACATCTCTCTCTTTGCCAAAGCACTGGTCTGAGAACTGCAAACCGAGAGCTGATGGGGGGAAGGGCAGTAACGTGTCTGAAGAGTCAACGTGTACCCATAGCTAAGAACGCATCAGTTGTTTAACAAAATGTACGCACAGATAATAGTTCTTGCTTTCCGTGAGACATCCAGTGTACATTATAGACTCGGATGATGCTCAAGATACCTGAATCAACCACCGCAAAGGGGAAATCTTTCTGAACTCAGTGGTTTTCAGGTGAAGGTAACTACAACAGGAAAGACAACCACAGAACTGCCGAACTCCCGTGCAGATCATCTCCACACTGTTTCTGAGAGAGAAGTTAAGAGGAGTTGTTCTGCCCCAGCAAACCTGGGCTGCCGGTCTACAGGCTGACCCGTGACTTGGAGCAAGACACCAGCACAGCCGCAGCGTGCTTTGTCAGGTACAGGCCAACAAATGCACAGGCTAAAATTTCTGGTGTGTTTTACAATAGCCATTAGTTTCAAACACGTGTACTTAAACCCTCTCCCCCTGCCTTTAGTTATCTGAACGAAATCTTTACTGTGGTTTACTACAAAATCCTGTTGAGTGCTCTGGACAGGACAAAGTCAAACCTTACAGACTGAGGATCGCTTTTTCCCCAGAGGCTAACCACAGATGCAGGCTTTGCACAACGTGGTTGCTCATCTCTACCTGGACAAATCTGGATGGCTTTTCACAGCAAAACACCCCTCTCAACACATCTCGGCCCTGCAGCCTCACAGGCTCCCTGCCAAGCTTTGCGGTCCTCTTCAGACACCGCAGAGACACCAAAATTTCCCGACAGAAAAACCATCAGTACGTTTAGCACAGGCAAAGCAATGTACACATCTTCAACTTGGTTTCCTGAAGCAGACACATTTTTCCAAAAAACCCTCAGCTTGAGGCAGACGGCCAGGATGGGTCTTTTAAATAATGAAAGTCTGGCAAATTTACAGGCAAACAGAAATAGGTTCTTTCTTGTAGTTGAAAGTGTCTGCACACCTTAAGCGTAGTTAAGCACACCCTAACTGTGTGCTGTGCTCTCAGCTCTGCTAATACAGTTAGTAATTATTATTACCACTAACAGTATGTGCAGTCATGGGCACGATGGCAGTCCTGCTTCCACCGCGGGTGAGAAATCAGGCGCAGAGCAAGAGGGGTGCGTTGCCCCTTTCTGCCTAAGCGCAAGCCAGCTCAGCCGAGGAGCACACCGAGCCCCAGGACCCCGACGAGCCCTGGCAGGACTCCTGAGTGCCCGGTGCCCTGAGCTGGCAGAGCTGCCCCCAGGCAGCAGACCTCTCCTACCTTCTGCTGCCGTGCTGGGGCCATCAGGCCGAGTGGTCCCCGTGCTCTTTTTCCGGCGATGCTTCTTCCTGTTTGCGTGCGGCGATGGAGGCGGCTCAAGCTTTGGGCTGGCAGCACTGGAAATGTTTGGGCTGGAGCTGAGAGAATCGGCAGTACCGTTAGCTGGGAACAAAGATAAAGAAAGTGATGTACAACCAGACAGTGACAGTCTACACTTTCTAGAGCCAGCCAAGCATCCTGGAGACGACTCCAGTGCTCTGCCTGGCTCAAACTGCGCAGCCCCGTGAGACAGGGCAGTACCCGCACTCAGCCCCATCGCACGGGGCAGCTCCGACATCTGCTCCAGCTCAGGCTCCTTTGGCAGGGTCAGGCTGGACACGCTCTGCGCTGGGATTCAGCCGGGACAATGATGCCGGGACAGCACTGGCACCTACGTGGCCGGGACAAGCACAGTGGCATCACTGGGGTCAGCCTGACATGCCAACCCCGCAGCGCATGTCCCTGGGCGTACTGCTCAGCGGCAGCGTCCTCCTGGGACGACACATGCGTTTGGGGCAGGGACAGTCTCAGGAGGTGTTCTCGGCCCCCCAGGTCCCGGGGTCTGCAGTGCCGCTGCAGAAGCCTCGAGCCCCCCCGGCACCGCTCCGCCAGACGAGGTGACTGGGGTTGCCACGCTCAGGAACCTAAGCATGATGGTCTCAATAGGCTTCCGATACGGAGCTGAAGAAGCTGCATCCCCAGCAGCAACGCACCAAATTTATCCTCAATCATACTGTTCCTTACAATTAATAGCAGAATTAGAAACAATCAGGGAGCTGCCTAATTACTGTCAATTAGAGCGCGCTAATCAAGCTCCGATCACACACACACACGCTGCCGCTGCACTCACCATTAAATGTCAAATTTCATTAGAGACCAGCAACAAAATCAAAAGCCTGACATTCAATTTCAGCAGCACACACAGCGCAGGCTTCCAATCAGCATAAAAATGCAGACTCCGGGGAAGGCAACGAGGCGCAGGAGCCCTCGCTGCACTGTTAACCCTCTCCGAAATACACTCCTGCCGCTCCAGTGTCCACCCCCCCACAGGGCACCTATGGCACCTCCGCTCCCAGCCCGCTTCCATCCCGGGCAGCTCGCCGTCCTCTTTGCAACAGCCCCACGTCTCCCTCCAACTCCCAACCTCCAATTGCCGTGTTCCGTGGCACCTCAAATTAAGAAAGCAATTGCAGCGTCTAACAGGGGCAGCGCCCTCCAGCAGCGGGGAGCTGCCGAGCCCTTCTCCCGCTCCAGCCTGGCCTCGGCTCTCCCTTCTCAGCCCAGTTGGCTCAGACTGGCTCTCTGGGCTTGGGCTGTCTCTGCGAGGCAAGACCCACACCAGCAGTGGGATGGAGGGCTACCGGCAGTGGCCAGGAGCTGCCCCGTGCCGGGGTCTGGGTGCAGCCGGCGTGCCCCGCGCCAGGCTGGGCGAGGATGCGGCATCAGAGCTCCTCCATCTCCGGCTTCTACTACATTTGACACAGACTAGTAGGGTGTTTCTGCTGCTATTTATCCACAGGGAAATAGTTCACCCTTGACAATTAAGAGAGATAAATCTAATAAATTCAGACTCCATTTTTATAAATATAAATTACTGATACCGCTCAACAGGACTACGCTTAGAGCAGGTGTGAGGCACCTTCATCTCCCAGCCTGGATGTCGCAGGGGACCTGAACTTTCTCGTCGGAGGCTACACGTGGTGCATCCAGCCTACCTCTGCTGCCCACCTGCTCACCAGGACGTCCCCAGGGCCAAACCACACACCGCCGGCATCCTGCCCCCCTCCAGGCTCAGCGCGAGGGTTCGTGCCCTTCTGCAGCTCCCGACAACGTGCCTGCAGGCTGCGGTGAGCCTGACACCTCCCGCTCCGCCGCACACAGATCACCCACGTCCCTGCTCTTCTCGCTGCCCAGGAGCTACGGCCACAGCGCTGGGGGCTTCCAGGGCCCCCATTGGGATGGGGATGGGACTGCAGTGGGGTGAGGGCAGAACGTGAAACAGGCTCTCTCTACAAGATCAGGTATTGCTGGTTCGTCCTCGTTTTCCCCAGCAGGACAGGACTGACCTGCCCAAGGACCTCCAGTCCCTGTCTCACCATGGGAACCCTTCTGCAGGCACACGTGGGACCTCCTGCTTCCTCCCTCCCAACCAGCTGGACTCATGGGCAGCCCCGGGTCCCCGCGGGTGGGCCACAGAGGTCCTCCCATAAAGGACAACCACAAAATGTGCTGGAGCATGTTCACACCACCTGTACAGCCCGTCCCATCCCTCTGCGTGTGCTCTCCAGGGCACAGCCAGAGGAGGCAGCCTGTTCCTCGGAGCCCTGAAGGCAGCCTGCACCCTCTGCACATGCCCGCGAGTCTGCTCTGAGTACAGACATATTCCCCACTTAGAGCTTGGACCCGGGCTGCACGGACACCGCGGCACAGCCGGGGTTCAGGCACCGGTGCGAGGGACGCCGGCATCAGGGTTCCCCTGGCGCCAGGGGTTTGCCACAGTGCTCCGCCTGCCCCGGCCCTTTCTCCACAGCCCCGAGCGGGTCTGAGGTGGGAGACAGGTACGAAGTCACTGCTGTCCCCGCCAGGGCTGCTGGGACGGGGCTGGGGGCTGTGAGCTGTGCGACGCACTGTGCGGCTGCTCCAGAGGACAGCCAGGCTGGTGGCCCCTCGTACGGCACGGACCCTGCAGCACCGCTGGCCCAGTGGCACACCTCTGGAGCACTAAGCCAGACTGACCCACAGGGCTCAGGGTCCAGCACAGCGCAGCGGGACCCGGGCAGAGGGGACGAGCAGCCATCAGCGCTCGAGACACACAATTAGCACCCAGTCGACACCTCACCCCTCCACGACATCTCACCCCTCCGCGTCACCGGGAGAAGCAGCAGCATCTCAGCTCCCACTTGTGTCAGTCTCCAGGTTATTTTGCGAGAAGGAGGCAGACCGCTCGGGGTGGCTGCACGCACCGCAGGCTCCTCCTGTGGACAGGGAGCAGAGCCCTTGTCCTGGGACACTCCAGCCAGCGCAGGCAGAACGCGCAGTGCAGCTGCGCCAGCCCCTGGGCTCTGCAGCGGGGCTGCTGGCAGGAGTAGGGGACCTGCCACGACGGTCCCTGGGGCTGGGGGCCATGCAGGCGGGGCGGCGGCGGCCGGGAGGG